AATTCCTAACTTACATCTTTTCATGATATACACGTCCTTTTAACTCATCATACACATTAACCGCAACTGTGTAGTACCTGGACCATATCAGATATCCTGTTCCCAACAATCAAACAAATGTTTTCTTTTTTCATCATCTCGAAATCTTACAACAATTAAGATACTGATGAACTAGACAAGTTTTTTAGTGTTAATATTGAGTAAAATGAGGTTCCATTCCACTAATTAGTAATGACACTTGACCGGTTCAATATTTTCGGCTTACATTTATATTTGTTTACCTCGTTATCTAAGTCGTCATAATAGAAGTAGGATTCACACATTTCGCGACTTCACATTTATCCACGTAATTACATCACTGCAATATAAATTTGATGAAACAATATAAATTTAAAAACCAAGGATCTGGTTTTATTATGATAAAGGTAGATGAAGTTATACTTGACTGTTGCCTACTAGTTGGCGTCTGTTACATCATACTTCTTTAAACTTTGGTAGGTTTATCGGCACTTTGGTTCTGATTATACTGTTTGTAAAGATTATTATTATTAATGGCTTTATTCAATATTATATTTTTGGTACAATATAAACTTCTCATCGCAATTTATTTCAACAAGTTTCCGTTTCACCTTTCTTGGTCGATCCTGATAATAAATAATGAGTCTTCGCCAGTAAGAAGTTGGCAGTTCAGGAATCGACATCTGAATAATGTACATTCTTCTCGATGTGTATTGCCAGCGACAACAATATCTCGGATTTAGCTCATTCCTAACTTGTACAGCGAAAGGTAGTGAACTTTTCACAAGCGCACTTGAATAGGTTATGCAATTAACTGATATAATGATTTGTTGAAACAAACAAAAGAGAGATAACTGGTTGAAATATTTAGATGGCAGGAACAGGTAGCCCAGATATTTAAGCATGCCGCCTATTTTATAGATGATGTGATTAAACAGACAAATCACTGATAATTTATCTTGCATCAATCAAAACTACTTCCTAATCAGTAATATTTCAAATTAACTGCAATGAATAAATCCATATACTTATTTGTACTATCATTTTTCCAAATATAAACGAATATTCAGATTAGGTGGAATGTGGCTAGCAATGGAATTCGTGGCGCACGTTTCGTCCTCTTCGAGAATCGTCAGTTGAGTACCTAAATCGTACCAGAACTGTTCACTCTCCAAAACTAACTAAATACCTCCCACTTCAAAAACAACGCGTTGCTCATTTAGCTACCGAATTCTGGTAGATTCTCATTTATGTGACGTATAAATTTTTAATTAAATTTGGATTTTCCCACTGTCGATATTTTGAGTATAATTTGATTGATTATCCACTTTTCATCTATTCTACATAAACTAGTGCCAAAATGACTATATCGAGGCAATCCTCATATATGCCAACAAAGAATGATCAACTATCAGTCAAAATATCAACAATAGGATAATCGAAACCATTGGAAATTAAATTATAAATAGAATGACTTTGTTTGATATTAACTATTTCAAATAATTCAACCAAAGAACTAAATTCCTGATATTCTGATTGATCACAATCTAAAATCATTAACACTGGAAATTTAAATTTATTTGCTACAAAAGACCCGTTTGATAAACATTGAAATAAAATACTCAATTCACTTGGTATTATTTGCTTGTATCTTCCCATTTGTTGTTAAGGATTGCAACTGATCAGTCTTCTTGCTTATAATGCTTGTGATTTAAGGCAAAATCAAGGCAGTCCGCACAGGATGCACATATGCCAACAAGAGACTGATCAATTGAAGTCCTAAACAACAATGGTAAGATACAAGCAAATAATACCAAGTGAATTCAATATCCACTACATTGCACAAGTAGGTGGCCGTCAGGACTCAGTAGCTAAGTGGATAACGCGATGGCGTTTGAATCGAACGGTACTGGGTTTGGGTCCCGGAGTGAACATCAACTCTGGGACGTAGGTTTATCCGGCTGACGAGTCTCAAATAGAACGAAACGTGCGTCCTAGATTCCACTGCTACCCACAATCCATCTTTTCATATAAAACACTCAATGTTAATTTTTCAATATGAAAATAATATGGTTTGAAGTACATGCTAAATTGATATCAAAATGTGCATATATTTGCCCTTAAGAACTTAGTAAGACTATTTGCCAACGTCACTTCACAAGAAAAACTACATAGAAAATCCTTTATTGTTGACTTAAATGTATGCAATGTTTGTATATAGTGATGATTGATTTATATATTGTTGTGTGCGTTTTTCATATTCAATGATCTTATTTCTTACTTAAGCGCTAATCTATTCATGGCTAATAGAGTGTATTTGTATAGATTTTCAAATTACTAGTTCGTATATTACATTCCGTATTGCTACTAATTCGAATAATTTTAGTGTATAGTGGATTAACTTGTACTGTTTAAAGATAGCTATCAGTTGGGCAGTTATTCATAACTAGAGAATAGTAGGAAACTGTCTCGGCCTATTATGCAACTCATTAGTGAGTGTTACTAGAGATCATATGGAATTTTGCTTATTTAATACATATGTACATTTTCGGTGTTCTGAGTTCGCACAATTTCATTAGTTTGAGCCATTATGTTTCATACACTCAGTTTATTTTATTCATGTGTTATTGGTTAGTAATGTTTATATTTTTGATAAATTAGCTTATAAACAAATGTGACTTTCTCACCTTAATCCTTTAAGTAATCCTATGTTTATGGAAAGATACAACCACCAAAAATATTTTCTCTGTGTTATAGAGTACAAATGTTTTTTTAAAAATGTTTTAATTAACTTAAGTTATTCTCAAGGGCATAAAATTATGTTCTTCAATGTGAGTGCATATTTTCGATATCTGATAAATACCTTTTCCATGACAATTATACCCATGAAGTCATCCGTCCTTACACTTACGAAATAATTACACATCCAGATAACTTTAAAAAAACATTTTCATACGTTAAAAGACCTACACATTTTTACTTACGTTCTATTGATAACAAATAATGTCTCGGTATACTTTTGAGTGTTGGTGTAGTGAACGAAAATACAAGTAGGGACAAACGAATGTATTTGAATACAAAGTTACAGAACATCTTAGTAGAATCTGAGAACCATCCAGTAAGTAGTTAATTTGAAAAATATCAATCCGTCGTCTCAAACTTGACTGTTTACTTCATTTTCACAGCAATCATACTCTGTTCTAGTTCACTTTATCTTCGATCTTATTAACCTTCTGGTGCCAGGTACTTCACTTTCGATTGATGATGCATACTACTTATATCTGTCGGCATCAGTAGTACGCGCCAAACTTGTCCTTCCTTTAAAGCAGTCGTTCTTGCGGTAGTTCCACTAGCCTGCGGCGCACCAACTTGCCGGGACATCAAAACCCGACGTACACCCATCACCCGGCACGTTCAACGCCTGCTCTCCAGCGACCTATTAAGCCAGCTACATCCAATGACCGCCCAGCAGCCGGAAGTTCCATCGCTCCTCTTCATCGACGGCACCCGCTATAGCCAACACCGCTACTGACGTTGATAGATATAAGTAATATGTATCATCAATCGAAAGTGAAATGCCTGGCGCTAGAAGGATAAGAAAATCGAAGGAACGAGAACAGAGTATGATTGCTGTGGAAATGAAAGAACAATGAAGTCTGAGACAATTGATTGACATTTTGCAAATAAAGTATTTACGGTATGGTTCTCAGATTTTACCATGATGTTCTGTAATTTTGTATTCAAATACATTCATTTGTCTCTATTTGTGTTCTCGTTCATTACATTAGTAGCTTCTGCTCAATGATTTATCTTCTCAATTATCATACTACATAGGATCTAATAAATTTCTAACTATTTTTTTCAAACAATTCAACATTAATAGTTTTACGCTACACAAAATTTATTATCTTTGAAGTTTTCATTAAATTCCTAATGAAACGTCTGTATTTCTCTGAAGTATAATAAGAATTGAATACATCTGGCATTTAAACTCCATAGGTCGACTAAGGTTGATCTTTTTAAACAAATAGGCTTAGTTTCTGTTACGTCCTTGATCTGTCTACGCTCTTTTGTGCAGAGGATAACTTGTCTAGTCTAGAATAAGACCCTGACGCTTTAGGTTGACTGGCTCAACCTTGAGGCTTGTATGCGTGAGTTCGAAGTGAAACCAACTGCTTGTGATAAAGAGACTATTCTATCGCCTGATTGACTGACAAGCATGCCAGTGAAAGAAGACAAGTCAACTGGAATACTACTCGATCTATTTCCAATTCCGATCTGGTTCCCGATTTCAGATTCATGTAAAAAGATACATGAATAAATAGATGACTAACCTAACCACAAAGCGCACACCAATTTAAAAAATACAATTATGTCCAAAACTGGTGATTAGCGTAGAAAATAAAGTACAAAATATTACATTTAAATTAAAAAAGACTATGGCAATGAATCACATATCAAACGAAAGGTTATGATCTGTAGAATAGACTAGGGACAAAAATAAATGTCAGTGTTTTGTGTTCGCACCATGCGTGGTCTTCCCATTCTGACCCAATATTTTCGTGAGAGAATTGTTACATCAGACGCAGTGTCTATTTGCAATCTAAGCGAGTGCCCATTAATATTAAGGGTGATAAATTTCCTCTCATCTGGGATTGAGTTCTGACAGCTTGCTATTAGACTCAACGAATTCGTGTTGGATCTAGGCGTAGGTTTTCTGGTACCTCTGGAGCTGCTCGGCTTCTTTTTTGGACAAAAACCATCCAGGCGAGGTTCAGTGTTTTACAAGCTTTGAATTAATTGAAATAACTTCCTGAAAAATAACTTTCTCTGTTCACATCAGATTCCATTATACTTATTACTAATAGAATAATAAATCAATATTATACAATTCCAAGAAAGATACATTTATTGATTTATTTGAAATCAGTAAATAATCAATTAAATATATTCAATTAGTCTATTCATTCAAATAATCAAATATTAAAAGATCTAATGAATACAATAGATATGTTAATAGAAAATTTTTATCGGAACTCAATTTGTAAAACAATATGGAAAGAGGATACAGACCAATTGGATGAAATTATTGATTGGATACATTCAGAAGCCGTTGTATTGAATGCAATTATGCATAGTAATAATAATCTTAGAATACCATCATATGAGAAAATGATGAAAGTAATTAATTTTCTTAAAGAAAATAATTTTTGGCGTTCGAATCCATATTCACTTAATATTATTAATAATAATATAAATAATGATAAAACTGTTGTTAAGCCAAATTATCAATTATATATGAAAAATGTTAAAGATCTATGGGAAAATAATAAAGGATTCAATAATGAATATGAAAAATAGTACAGTAATTAAATTGATATAGAAATATGACCAAAATAATGTGTGTATATTACTTACTTGCTTACTTACTTACGCCTGTTACTCCTAATGGAGCATAGGCCGCCGACCAGCATTCACCAACTCGCTCTGTCCTGGGCTTTAATGTGTATATTTATGACTAGATAATTGAATGTACTTTGTTTTTGTTTGGATCCTTGCCATTTGGTTTGTTATTTATGTAAATAATAATAATAGAACTTTTAAGTGGATTGAATCTTTCTTACATTGACTCAAATTCTTTTTTTTGATATATATAAGCTTCGATTATATAAATTTTAATATAGTGAAAATTCCCATTTTGATATTTGGTAAATAAAGATGGAATGAATCGAGCGAATAGATTTCTTTTAAATTAGTTTTTTATCAGAATGGGTTTTGTGGAGATTTTTTAGAAATTTCATGAGTCAATTGAAGCTAGACCACCACAGAAAATCTGGAAGCACTGGACGGCCATTTCGTCCTAGTATGGGACTCTTCAGCAGTGCGCATCCACGATTAACTAGGTGTGTTGTGAGATAGTAACTCACTGAAGATAATGGTTTACGGTGACGCAACTTCGTGGATTGGTTGAAGTTAGACATTGACACCGTTGGATGCCGGCTCAGTAGTCTAGTTGGTTAAACACCGGGCGCGAGACTGATAGGTCCTGTGTTCGAATCCCGTGGGTTGCGGGATCGTGGATGCGTTTTGCTGAGGAGTCCTATACTAGAACGAAACGGCTGTCCAGTGCTTCCAGATTTTCTGTGGTGGTCTAGCTTCAATTGACTCATGATTTCAACAAGTGAAATTAGTTTTTCATCATGCAAAGAAATTTCTTCAATCGATTCATTCCTTTTTTTATATAGATTTTTGATAGAGTTTTATTTTTTGAGCTGGATGGTTTGATTGTGAGACGATAAAAAGCCTTATTAAAATTATCCATCTAAGTTATAAATCTTTTTCATCAGCATCTTATAAAGAATTCCATGAAATTCAAATAAAATCATGGATAGTGGTCAGTTTTTTTTCTTTTAGATCTTTTTCATGACTTTCGCTCTACTTATTATAGTAGTAAGATATAGTTTATTACAAGTACCTGTTATTGTAATGTCAGCTACTTATATTTACATAAGTAGTGTATAATGACAGCTAGGAATAGAATGTATGTCAGTAGAAGATTGAAAACGGAAGAACGGGAAGGGAAAACAATTGATATGAAAATGCAAGAACAATGAAATATGAAACGATAGACTGATATTTGCAAAAGTAACAGTCAAGTTTGAGACAATGGATTGATATTTTGCAAATTAGCTGTTTACTATATAGTTCTTAGATTTTAGTGAGATATTCTGTAGTGTTTTGTTGAATTACATTCGATTATCCCTGCTGGTGTACTCGTTCACTACACTATTTCTTGTCTATGTTTAAATAAATTTACGTCTTTTAACTGAAGTAATATAACTTTTTTCATAAACTATCAAATGGATAAAATTATATAAAGCTTAAACTGAGAGATTACAATTATAACTTTTTCGAATTTGCTATGTTTGAAGCGATTACGAGTTCATCTAGTCTGCAGACAGAACAAAGACTCTGTAACTAAAGACCAATAATCTAGTTATTCTGATTCGTCCCAGCCCCGCTAACTAGAAAGAAAAGTCCACGTTCGAAACAGGGAAATATATTCCTCAAGCAACCAGAAGCACGAGAAAACATGATAGGCATAAGTCAAACGTATATATACAGCATAAAATTGTCCTTGGGGAGCGTTACAAACTAGCATTTAAGTTCCTCTCAATTGGGAAATACGACAGGAAGATGAAAATAAACGCTTTCGGCGCGAAAACAAGAAAATTCACAATTTTAAACTAAAATTACAAAAATAAGGTATTCACTAAGTGAGTTCTGGGGATCTAACATCTTCAACAAAATTAATTGTCGTTATTGGGAATGAACTCTATACAAAAGTATAGGTAATTCATTAAACAGGATTAACAAACATTTCGTGGATTGGTTGAAGTTAGAAATTAACACCAGTGGTCTAGTGATTAAGTGCTCACGCGCGAAACCAGTAGGACCTGGGTTCGAATCTCGCAGGAGACGAGGTCGTGGATGCGCACTTCTGAGGAGTCCCACAATAGGATGAAACGGCCGTCCAGGGTTTCCATTGTGGTCTAGCTTCAACTGACTCATGATCTTAACCATCGAAACATTTGTTGGTCTATTAAAAACATTAGCTTCGAAAAATCAGTTTGTAAATCATTTTTTATAGTGTTAACCGAATAGCACTTCAAAAATTTTCAAACTACTTAAATTTACAATGACTGTTATATATATAGAATCCTCTATATTATAAAGTATTATTTAATTCTGACTTAGTTGGTTAAAAAAATATTATCTTAAGCATCTTTTGAAAATGACGAAATCAAATTACTATTATTTTTTGGTTAAAACAAAGTCATAAAACAGTAGTTATTAAAGTGGAAAATCCCGTAAATTATTGAAGTCTACGATTTTTGAAAAAAAAAATATATTGTATCAACTAATTATATTTTATTGAATAGAATTAATTCACAATAAAATATCAGGTGATCATTTCATTTGTCCTTATTTGATCTAATTTCCTTTATTTAGCTAACTAATTGATCTACTTACAACTGTCATCGTTAATATTAATAAATATTTTTTATGAAATAGTTCATTCCTTGACATGATCACGACCGATTGATTGTTAATTGATAAATGTTTAAACAGTATGATTTCTGACTTGGCAAACTGTTGGCAAACATTTGATTTTAGAACTAAATGTTATATTAAAATGTAATTATTGTGTGTAGACCATGTTTCCAGCTCAAGTTAGGCATAATAAATAGTGGTTTATTAATGAAACTATGAAGTTTCGTTATCTATACATTCTTATGGTATAACTATTCAATAATTAGATTATGTATATTTATATTCCTCTTATTATAAGCTTCATTTTGACCTATGATTTATTATTGTACGATTTACTGTACATCCGATACACTATAAGAGGAAGTTATGAAAGTTAAAAAATGTTTAAAGAATAACGGATACATACTGAAATATAGCAAACGTGAAGATAAAAAACCCAAAGGAATCACAGCAAATAAAAGCCTATTTTTATTCAGCTTCAATTCAAAGGTGACGATGTCACAGGATCAATCAATATGAGACTAAAAACTACACGGACAAGAACTTATCCTGCAGCAAAATTGATTGTCCTGTCCAAACCAACATGTTCTTTGACACAATCAAAGGTCGACAGGTATTCCTTTCATGTTACCACCAACTGTGTGTACAAATTCACATGTATCTGCCAAAGCAGTTATATTGGTAGAACAGAAAGGAAAACCTACGTCCGATTCAAATAACATATTCCGAAAAGTGTAACATCAAATGGATTGAAAGCATTCAACAGTGCCATCGCAAGACATCTCCTTGACACAGGATATGAAGTTGATATACTGAAGTCCTTCAAGGTGATTAATAAACAATCAAACTCCAACCTGTTGAAGTTTGCCGAAGCAATAGCAATCAAACGTCTAAAACCAGATTTATGTATACAAAAAGAGACAGTAATAAATCTTTCTTTAGCCTGGTAACAATAACCCCCTTTTTTATTCATTTATTTATTGCGTCATTACTCCAACTCTTTCAAATTACATCATACATAACAGACCGATTTCAATTTTATATTTTCTTTATTACCTTTAATCTATTTTCATGAGTTCTGATCACTATTTCAATGTTCCGGAACTTTCCTTCTCAAACTATTTATTCGAGACAAAATTTTGTGACCTCATTAACCCTATCGGAATCTTCGCTACACCATGATACATTTATTCATCCTTAATCATCCTCTTATGTATAAGTAGGTTAATATCTGTAATAATTTTGGATTTCGAATAGTTTAGGTTGTAAGCAGCTGATGAGAACCTAACGAAATAAAATGAATTCATATTATTCTGTACCAATCTTTGTTCTTGCTCTCTTATTATTGGTAAGGACTGCAATTGATCAGTCTGTTATCGCAATAAATCACGAGCATTATAAGCAAAGATGGATAGTGGCTAGCAGTGGAATCCAGGACGCGCGTTTCGTCCTATTTGGGACTCGTCGGCTAGATGTACCTGCACCTCACAGTCAGTGTTCGCTCTGGGACTCGAACCCAGTACCGTTCACCTCAAACACCATCGCGTTATTTACTTGGCTGCTGGGTTTTAATAGCCGGCACTCAGGAGCGAACAGTACTGTGTTCGAGTCCCGGAGTGAACGCCAACTCTGAGATGCAGGTGCGTCCAGCTGACGAGTCCTAAATAGGATGAAGCGCACTTCCTGGATTCCATTGCCAGCCACTATTTATGTTTGTTACTTACTCATTAGTTATACAATCAGAATATATGTATAATATCAGTTCGTTACTCATAATTTAGTCTGCGCCAGGATATAACATTTAACCAATGGTTCCCTTTTTCCCAGTGGTTCATGAGAACCGGCACACTTTTTCAAATGTTTATCATGAACATTCCTTAATTTCGTCAATTTTTGGTGGATACTAGGTGGTATGGATTGACAGATCACTGCTTGAATCCTACCATTGTCGACGATACTCCAAACGATTACAAATGTTCATTTGAATTGGAAAACTTACAAAATCTTTATATCATACACTCACTCAGAACTTCAGAGTAATCCTCAGTAGCTGTGGTCCTAAAACAATAGGCTGAAAAACAAGACAACAAAGGCATTGTGGGACACTAAGCAACCGAACGATGGCTGATGAGTGACCTATTCCACACACGAGTCATTATTCTAGTTGAAAAATCCAATGTTCTTATGATGATCGACTTGATTATAGGACATTGTCATATTCACAAAAACAAAGTTTACGAATCATTCTGATCGATCTGAATTCTTACAAACGGTCGGTGAAGCAAGAAAAAATGTAGCTCAAAAGATCCAGCACTTCAATGATCCCACAGATCTTGGTGACTTGGCTGTGACAGACAATTCTGATGAGAAAATATCTCGGCATCCGGTAATCACGTGATTGTAAAGTGGTGATAAGTTCTGGAAATGTCGAATTCGAAAGTGGGTTGTCTTCGTTGTCACTTGTGAATAGATTAGAGATGATATGATAAATAAGTTATTTCTTCAAGACACAGTTCGGTGCAGTGTTTTGAGTTCATTAGCATAAATACTACAATACCTGTTCCGTTCAATAGCCTTATCTATGTTATGTTTATATGGTTATTATAAGGCTGACTTGCTTAAATAGTTACTTACACCTATCGCCCCTTGTCGAGGAGCACAGGTTGCCCACCAGCATTCTCCATCGAACTCTGTCCTGGGCGATCATTTTCAGTTGTTAGGTATGTCAAAATGACCAAAACGTTCGGGAATTCATCTTTGAATTGCAGAAACAAGCTGCCAAGTGTAATTTCGGTGATCAACTTCATGTATAACTGAGAGATCGATTAATTGCAGGAATTAACATACCGAGTTTGGAAAGAGAGCTGTTAAGAATATCAAAGTGTTCCTTTCAAGATGCTAGAACTGCGTGTATTAACTATGAAGCAGTGAATGAACTTGATATCTAGTCGATGAAGATTTCCAATACTTTGCTTAGTCGTCTTGATGAACTATAATCTCAGGGTCAATCGAACTTGCGTTCATTTAACAGCGATTCCTATTCTCGTGGGCACAGTATGCTTGTTAGTTTACGGGTTTTCGCGCACGTGTAACGTATTGTCGTGGATTTTATGTGTCGTTATTTATCAGCTATTAACAGCCTTTTTTCCGTCATACATGACTTTTCGTAATCTTTGTGATTGGAAGATAGTTTTTGTTTCAATTTATAAGCAGTTTGACGTATTTCGTGCTCACCACCTAAGTAAATATGTAGCTGGCGTAATATGGTTTTTTTTAACAATACTAAGTCAAAGAAGTCGAATCACCATTTTTCTAGTCAAAAATAGATTACAGATTGAGTTTTCATGAAAATAAGCCGTAAAAAGAATTATATATGGTTCACCTCCTTGATTATGGTGACGGCAAACACAGATGTTGGTAGTCGTTTATAAAATGTAATTAGAAAGAAGTAAGCGTTAAAGTAACTATGAATATTATATAAATTGTTTGTATTTAGCCATAAAAGGTTATTTGGACTATAGGTAGCATTGTTTTGTACTGAAGTGACATATTACTGTGTAAGGTATCTTCATAAGTAAATCGATGGGTGTCTCTTCTGAGCATGGTGACGAAACCATGTCTTACTTAATACTGACTTATGATGTGTCTGTTAGAGGGTTGACGAATAATTCTCTGTAAAGGAAATGCACAATCGCAGAAGAAAATGTGAACAAAGTTATGATGCATATTGTCGAGTAATATCTAAGTGGTGCTTACCAATTTCTCTTGCTAATACCAGATATATAGACGAAATACTACAAGGGTTAGACACTGAAGAAATTTCCATTGCTTGTTAAGACACAAACTTAAATCAAAAAACAACTATTAATGAGTTAATTCATGAATTCCTACTGCATTACAGACTGACTCGTCTAAAGTAATTCATGCAGACAACGTGACGAAAAGTGAATGAGCAATGGAAGCAGAATCACAAGTTCCTTGTATTCATATCGCCTTTATGCCACATTATTGAATTACATTTTATTCATAAATCCGACCACGCTTCTATGTTGTGACGAACCTGATTTCAGTAATTTTTAAATAACACTGATTTGTGTGTTGTAAAGATTACCTATTAATTTTTATTAAAGGAAATAGAAATCTCTAATGATTAGCGCTGTCTGCAAATAAGAGACTTATAAGTACATTCTGTAACCTGCTATTTGATTGACTTATTAAATGTGATATTGATAACTAGGTCTAATTCTTTATTTCACGACTGATTTGTTTGTTTTTCAGAATTGTATGAATCAAATGAAGTCGTAAAAGCTTTGTGATGATGTTTACGCCGGTCTACAACTTATAGAATTTGTGATTATGGAAGACCATATTAAAATCATTTTTATTCAACAAATGAATTAGTGAAATATAAATATAGCAACTACACTTAGTGTCTTACGTTATAAACCGTGTCAGTATTTATTAATAGTCGATATGACGCTAGAACAAATATAGATAGAGAATAATATGAACTCCTTATAATCCATGGAATGAACAAGTAATAAGAAGGATTATGTAATAATTTATTTCACTTTTAAAATTTAGTTACGCATTTTTTCCATCACCCTGTCACTTAATCCTCTGTAATTACGTGACCTCTGCAAATTGTAATCAATTATGACGTAACTCAAGTTTTCAGTTCTTAAATCCACGGATCATTTAGAAGCTATAAGAATTTCACACCACTTATCTGTCTGTGAACTGCAGTCAACTATTATATCACCCATTCTTAATGTGTTATTGACTGTAAAAGCAAATGACCTTTGACCTTACACTGCATATATATATATATATATATATATATATATATATATATATATATATATATATATATATATATATATATATATATATATATATATAGTCACTATTGATAACCTACGTCATTTCATTTATTCATATTCAGGTATGTCAACTGTTTCCCACATCACTGTTAAATCCTATTGCATATTTAGTTGTAATGAATGCATACCACTGTTAATCAACATTTCTCCTGGTTTTATTTTGATTCATAAGCGGAATTAATCACATGAACTTAAAATGTACATAGGTCCTGATACGATTTTAATGATAAACGTAATCCCACGAAGGTGAATATGATATGTGGGTGCCTAATCTGCAAAACTGTACGCGGATGTAGGGTTTCTTAATCAATCTTAATTATTACAAACAGCTACACATGAACATCATTGCTATTCATTCCCATAAAAGTAGGAATAAGATGAAAATTGAAATCATGAAAGTTTATTGAAGAATCATTGCTGCAAAAGCAGAAAATCAAGTTTACAAGTTGGTATTAAGAATTCTTAAGTAATAATTGTCCACTTTCTTCTCAACTTCCGTTGCAAAACGTTCACCATACTTCTCAATGATGCGATGTTTATGGATTCTTTGGCTTCGTTGAATACTTACATACACTTCACTCCGTCGTGGTAATGCAGGTAATGTATAATTTTGGAAGTTCTGGGTATTGTGTAACTTCCATCTGCTACAATACCTAAGAAGTTGATGAGCTATGCAGTTAGTATTTCATAATTGATATAGCTTACCTGTAAGATTTCTTCTTTTACTTTCGATAACTTCGTCTGCTGACTCACAGTGAAGTATTACGGGCTTCGAGTTCTCTTTTTCTTCTGACGATAATCTCCTTGTCCATGGATCACATACCATCCATGAACTACTACATGGATGATTGTGTATAATCTTGTAGGATTTGATTACATATCCTTGCTCTTCTAGTCTTACACGGAATTTAGATTGACAATTACGGAATTTAGACCTTAAACATAAGATATTAGTTAAAGATCTTACGATTTTTGCCTCACTTTCAAACCTTCCGATTTCCGTTTGTGACCAAACGTACAATTAAACGATACAAACAGGTATTTGAACCTGACATCCTTCAGCAATCTGCTTTCTGTGTGGATGTAACGAGTATAAGTAGTCTGAGAAGCGATAAAATTATAGTTCCATACTTTTTGGAACTCTTTTAAGGCGCTTTCAAAATCATCCCACAACACGAAACGCTTGTTCAGTATCATACTTCGAAAGGCATCGGTTAAGTCGACTGAAATGTCACTTGAGGATGAAGCACTAAAAACAGACATTACTAATTATTAAACAGTTATTCCTTGCAACAATAATAACCCAAGGAAATACTACAAATACTTGAGATTTACCTGTGACTTGACATTTCGTTTAGCTTTACTACAATTGTTGGGATCAAAGATCAAATTACAAAGCAACAACAGAGCCAAAGTGCACACTACAAAACAGAGAACGCTAAATTAATGGTTTTGCTATTTATTTCGTGCTTTTTATGTAGCATAGGATGACTTATATATGAAAAAACTTGATACTCATGCAAACCAACCAACCCACGGCAATTGAAATACGGAATGACCGCCTCTAATCAAGCCGTTCAAGGTCGCTGAAACGAAAGGGCGGACACATTTCAAAAGGACCTAACGTTTAAACCGTGCCTGTTTATCATGTGGAAAGTTTCATTCTCGTAATTCATGTGCATTTCGTAGTGCTAAATGTTTTAAATGTGGTAAGATAGGACACATTCAGTCAGTATGCAAAGCTACTGTCCATTTTTCTCCAAGTAGTACTAAATCTTGTCATTTAAATCTCAATAATTCGGATGTTTCTGGCGATCATTTATCTTTGTCTACTATTTCGAAAGGTAATGCTCATATTCTAAAGCGACTATATACATCGCTTGGTTCATTTCATGACTTTATTGTGGACACAGGCAATATAGAGTCCATTATTTCATTCAAGAACTTGAAATCCTTAGATCCTAACGTTGTGGTACGACCCACTGAAGTATCAATATTGGAGATTACTGGACACATACTGCCCATACGAGGATATTGTGAATTGCTATTAAGAGATGATAATTCTTCATACATACCTTGTGAATTTTTAGTTAGCGAAACAGGACTGTCAATATTAGGTTTAAAGAATTTGAAAAGGCTTAAAGTGGAGTTGTTTTTCCTAGTTTCTAAAGAAAATTCTGCTACTTTACTTAAAGATATGATAGCTATGTTTGCTAAGTGCAGTGGAGGTATGAAAATTCATCCTATAAAACTTCAAGTACAGGGTAATCCAGTTTTTCTTAAAAGACGAATAATTCCTTATGGTCTTCGAGAAGCAGTACATAAGACATTAAACGATTTGTGTGCGAAAGGCATAATTGAACCAATTCAGTCTTCAGCATGGGGTACTCCTATCGTTACGCCACTGAAGTCGGTCGGCAAGACCACTAGAATTTGTGGTGACTATAGATTAACTCTGAACTTTCGTTTGTTGAGGCAAACGTGCACAACGGTAAAGGCTGAAGATATTCTAAATCAACTTCATGGTTCTAAAGTGTTCTCGAAAGTTGACCTAAAAGATGCTTATCTTCAAATTCCTTTAGATCAATCTTCATCTATTTTGACAACAATTTACACTCCATTTGGTCTGTTCAAATATAATTTTCTTCCATTTGGTCTAAGTTGTTCTCCAGCCATATTTCAGGAAGTTATGAATAAAGTAGTTAGTGATCTTGAAGGTGTTGAAGTTTATCAAGATAATCTCATTGTTCATGGTTCTAATAAGGTAGTTCATGACCAGAGACTTTATTGCATCGTTTAGTTGAGAAGAATATTGCAGTGAATCTAAATAAGTGTTTATTTTGTGTATCTAGTTTTGAATGCCTTGGTTACCTAGTTGATGGTAATGGTTTTAGACTAGATATGAAACGACTAGCTCCACTGACAAATGCACCGTCTTCAAAAAATCTTACGGAATTACGTTCACTAGTGGGTGATCTTCAATACTATTCCCATTTTATTCCTAATTTTTCTTGTCGTGAAAATTGTTTATTTAATATTTTGACGTCCAATTCATTCAAATATAGTAAGGAACAAGAGTCATGCTTACGTAATCTACTAAAGTTTCTTCAAAGTGATGCTGTTCTTCGAACATACTCCCCTAGTGTACATTCTGTGCTTATTACTGATGCATCACCTGTGGGAATTTGTGCAGTTTTGGAACAGGAAGGTAGACCAGTTGTTTGTGTTTCACGCAAACTCACTGTTACTGAACAAGGTTATTTGCTGACTCAGCGAGAAGCATTAGCTGTGTTTTGGGCTGTTAAAAGACCTCAGAAATATTTATTCAGAAAGAAATTCACTATTGTTACTGATCATGAAGCATTAAAGTTTATCATTTTGAAAAATCCTTAGCACGTTCCTCAGTTGCTATGGTTCAACGATGGAGTATTACTTTGAGTGCATATAACTATACGATTCAGCGCAGAAGTGCCGAATAAATTCAACATGTTGACTACATTTATCGACATTCAATAAAAGATAGACCTATTAATACTTCGGACTGTTTGTTAGTGCAACCTTTGCCAGTGAGACGTCCAGATCTCATTAGAGAAACTGGCAGATATTTTGGATGTATACTCAGTGCTATACGGAAAGGCTGGACTGCTAATTTGAAACGTAGATTTTCTATCTATTTTTCAAAGCGGGATGAGCTATCTACTACTCCTGATGGTATTCTGTGTTTAAATGATCGTGTTGTCATTACTCCTTCATTGCGTAAATCTGTTCTTGAAGATCTTCATAGTGGTCATTAAGTTGTTGAGAAAATGAAGTCTTTGGCAAGGCTCACATGTTGGTGGCCAGAGATAAATGCAGATATATGTAGTACGGCAAACAATTGTGAGAAATGTCATCAGTTGAAAAATCATCCTTCGAAGTGAACGCCATGGCCAGTATCGTCTGAGGCCTGGCAGAGAAGTCATGCTGACTATTGTGGTCCATTTCTTGGTAAATACTATGTAATAGTAGTTATTGATTATTTTTCAAAGTGGCCTGAGGGTTTTTTACAACTTCACCAAATTCTGATTTCACAATCCAAGCATTAAGAAAGATGTTTAGTCGAGAAGGGGTTCCTATGGTGTTAGTGACTAAAAATAGCTCTCACTTTGCTGCAGATGCAGTCACTACCTAGTTGAACGGTATAGGGTGCAAACATCTGTTTACTGCTCCCAGACATCCGTGTTCTAACGGTCAGGCAGAGAATTTTGTCAGGACATTAAAGACTGCTATTGATTCTATAGCCGCCTCAACATTTAATGAGCTGAAAAGAGTAGATACCTTTCTATTGCAATATAGAAATGCCAGACATTCGGTGACGAAGGAGACTCCAGCGAAGCTATTGAAAGGAGGAATTCTTCGGTCGAATATGAGATGTTTGGAGTCTGCAGAAGTTACATACTATCGGGGAAATGATCTTCGACCATCTACGGGTATTGTTCTGAAGAATGTCGGAAAATCGATGGTGCGAATTCTAGACATCAATGACTTAAGTACACACAGTCGACATGTTGACCAAATACAATTTCAGGAACCAGGTGAGTCTGTTCCAATTTCCGTTGTTAATTCTAATGCTAATGAGCAAATTCTAGATAATACAGAATCCTTTTCGAATACAATGTCAGACAGACTCAGGATGAATTTGAGAAGAGGACGTACGATTGGTTACAAACACCTAGACTTCAATTTAAGCTGTGGCGGATGTGGTGTTTGAACGAACTAATGATACTTTTGTACTGGTTCATTGCACGATTTCTAATTTCAAATACAGTACATTCGTTTCTGATTGTGCCTTCTTAATTCAATTGCGTTATTTCTTGGACTATTAGTTCGTGCTATAATTCAAATAATTCGAAATATTTTAAATCAACTTCATTTAATTGCAGGGATTAGCATACTGGGTCTGGAAAAATAGCTGTTAAGAATGAAAAACTTTTCTTTGCAAGATGCTAGCTGTGAATGAACTTGATATCCAGTGGATGAACATTTCTAATAATTTGCTTAGTCGTCATGATGAAATACAATCTAAGGATCGATCAAACTTGCGTTCGTTTAATAGTGATTCTTATTTTTTTTTTAAATATGAAATATGATTCAACAAGGAATCTCAAAGCATACCATAAAGGTTAGATGAAGTTTGGTAAATGTTTGTCCTGTGGCAAATTTCATTCTCGTAATTCATGTGCATTTCGTAATCCTAAATGTTTTAAATATGGTAAGGTAGGACAAATCCAGTCAGTATACAAAAAGTTTGTTCATCTTGCTCGAAGTATTTTTAAAACCTGTAATTAAGGTTCCATCAATTCGGCTGTTCTTAATGACCATTTGTCTTCTTCTTCCATTTCGAAAGGTGATGTTCATATTCAAAACGATTATATACATTCCTTGGTTCATCTCATGACTTTATTGTGGATATATGTAGTGAAGAGTTCATTATTTCATTCAAGAACTTGAAATCCTTAGATCCTAACGTTGTGGTACGACCCACTGAAGTATTAATATTGGAGATTACTGGACACAGACTGCCCATACGAGGATATTGTGAATTGCTATTAAGAGATGATAATTCTTCATACATACCTTGTGAATTTTTAGTTAGCAAAACAGGACTGTCAATATTAGGTTTAAAGAATTTCAAAAGGCTCAAAGAGGAGTTGTCTTGTAGCGATAAATAAATCTTCAAAATAAATAGCTCTGTAAGTTTTCGACATTGGATGCTGACCACATGTTTTAATGGACTCACCTAGCTGAAGGCGCTCGGTCATGCATCCGCACCAGATCACGAGTGGGATCAGACGATTCTCGATTCTCGCGTTGTCAAACAGTGAATACTTGTGGCATCTTCAGTCTTTACTAATTTCTAAGGAAAGTTCTGCTGCTTTACTTAAAGATTTGATAGCTGCGTGTACTAAGTGCAGTGGAAGTATGAAAATCCAGCTCATGTAACTTCAAGTGCATGATGATCCAGTTTTTTCTAAAAGACGAACAATCCTTCATAGTCTTCGAGGAGCGGTACATAAGATATAGAACGATTTTTGTGTGAAAGTTATATCTGAGCCAACCCAGTCTTCACCATGGGGTACTCCTAGTGTTTCACCACTGAGGTCGGATGGCAAGACCCTTAGAATATGTGGTGACTATAGACTAACACTAAACTGCTGTTTCCTCAAACAAGCATTCACGATGTCAGAAGCTGAAGATATTCTGAATCGACTTCATGGTGTGGTGGACCAGATAGATATGAACGCGAAAAATATCAACAAAGTTACCGAAGATCAATAGTAATATTAATATATACCAGTTAATTGGTACAAATACAATAAAAATTTGGAATGTTACTTAAATTGACCAAATGTTGCGTGTTCTGATTGGGTCCGGTATTGTTAATCCACAATCATAAATGTTTGGCGATTCTGATCGGGTTGGCAAA